AGAAATATCAGAAATATTTTTATTATTAAATGTATTATATTTGTAATTGTTTTTTTGATGGGGCAAATAAATATAATTTCCACCTGAGCCAAAAAAAAAAACTCCTTAGTGTTTAGCCCTGTATGAGTCTAAAATGTCATTCATAAAAATGTCTTAAACTTAACATGGTGAAACCTGCAAAAACCCTGTAAATAGCAAACCTGTTATTTAAGATTCAATTTTAGACTTATATTGGGTTAAACACTAAGAATTTTAGGGCTTTTTATTTTTAGGGCTGGAATTATCATGAGGAATGATTTAATTGCGTTTTTTGCTGTAAAAACAACTGTTGTAATATGTATTTCTTTGCTATAAATCTTAAATATAAAAAAAAAAAACGTTTTATTGAGATGTATTGGTGGTGATTGATGTTGGCCCGACTGAGTAGCTTTACAATTATTAATATTATTTATTTTATACATTTTTCTTTTTAAATTAAGACCTGTTTAAAATGATTTAAGACCTAAAACAGAAATTTCATAAACTAAATTTTAGTTCTTAAAAATCCTAAATTGACTAAAATATTAAGACATTTTTAGACTCTTTAGGAGCCAGCGGACAACCTGTGTAAATGTGAATGTTTTCTATTCATGAATGTGTGCATTTATACACTGTTAAACATAATTGAGTAAACCCCATTCTGAAAATGAATATTTGTATCCATTTCTCACTGAATGTAGGCAATGTATTTTAGTGCATTTAAACAAAACAGATTCATTAAATAGATATATTTATTAAAATAATGCTTTAGTCACAGAACATATTTAGAAATTGAAAGATGAAACAATTAAAATTTTATTTAGTACAATTAAATACAATAAAAAAAATGACAACCTATAAAATTTCAACAATTTTTTTTAATATATTTTTGCTTCCCTTGATTTTTTTTCTCTTTTTAAAAATTTGTATTGAATTATTTTTTTCTAACATATTAATTTGAGTGTACTGGTTTTTGGACCTTTAACATAAGTTATTTTGTTAGATACGCTCCAGATTTGGCTTCAGTACTGGCTAATCCAATGTATATCCACAAATATAATATTGTATAGCTCCTATTAAAAACATGAATTTAAAAGAGAGATTGTGTGGGGTGTACTTACATATGCTGAGCACTGTATTTACATAATAAATATATGCAGTGCATGCATTATTATTATATAAATGCATTGTTTGTTTTGTATGCGATTAGTCGCATTTATTGGTTTAATAGCGCTAGTAAAGTTAATAATGAAGTGATGAACAGCGTCACAGTATGACTGAATAATCCTAATGATTCCTTACAATCACAAATCAGTGAAAAAACTAAAAATACAAAAACAAGTGCCTCCATCTTCCTATTCTATATCCATTTAAACTAGAAATGTTACCGAACCAAAATACGTAAAACAAGACAAGAAAAGTTCAAGTTATTCGATGATAAATAAAAAAGTAATAAAAAAAAACACCAAAAAAAAAGCTAAACAGTCAGCAGTACAGTAAGAACCCATTCAATTCATAATGGTAGTTCTATTAACTGTTCTTTCTCAAAAAAGATTAAATAAATAAATAGATAAATAAATAAAAAAACAGGAAAGGGGAAAAGGGCAAGGAATGATCTAAAGGAAAATGAGCTGGAAGACAGAGAATGACACAAACAGCAAATCTTCCTGCTGAAAACTTTACTGGGTCGGACGTCACAGTTTGAAAAGCAAGAACACCCACAACCTCGACCAAACAGTAAATAAATAAATGTAAAAGAAAATCTGGCGATAGCGCAACAGTACCATGCTACATTATACCACTGGACGATTCACAACGCTCTAAATCAATGCAGCCATTTGGCGGCAAGCTCTTGTTGAGCACATAAACTTAAATCATCATCAACCAGCCCTCATCATATCCACATCCACCCTTAACACTTCCACTTTAACATTTGCCCACTTCACATGTCATTTACACACCTTTAACAACATCCACCTTTAACAGCCCTTCACTTTCTTACCGCAGGAATAGTCAAACATTCTCAACCCAACGCATAAAGTGCCAAGGCAAACACAAATACCATTTTGCCATTCCTGCCCACTTGACACTCAACAGCAACATGCACAACAACCATCTTTACACTCAGAAAACAAGCAGCAGATTTTATTGCCAAACACCATCAGGAAATGTATTGTACTGCATATATCAAATTATTACTCCATAATCCAGATATTTCCTGCTTAAAGAGCACTGTCCATTAGACTGCATCCCAACACAAACCAGTTTCGTTCATAACTCACGCAGACATCCTAGTATTTCAGTTTTTATCAATGCATATGGATCATTAATGATTGGATTTAGTTTGTAGACTACAGTATTTTAGAAAGGAATGTGAAAGTTGATATTAGGTGTGTTCACACTTGGTTTGATTAAAACAAACGGTCATGGGTCTTAATCTACTTCCAAAACATCTTTGAGTAGAATGAATACAGCATGGATATCTAAAGGAACCAAAAACAGGACAAGCCATACAGCATGCTCAAGTGTAGCTGTTTCTTGTCATAGAGGCAGTATGTTTCCATTCAAAACTTGACCATCGCATGTAATATTTGCAAATAAAGCCAATGTTTCCATCTATAGACAAAGAGAATAAAATAGTCACATCCTGATAAACTTTCACCAAATATCAAAACAGAGTCTCTCACTCTGGGCCTCTTTCTTACATAATAAATGACTTGCGTCTCAGAAGATAAGATGAAACGCAATGAACTTTCATAGGCTTTTGGAGGAGTAAGACTAACAACTGATGGACTGATACAATTTTTTTTTTCCAAAAATTATGTGGCATTTGTAATAAGCTTTTTTTAGTTTTTTTTTTTGCAATAGTGAAAAATCCAGAAAAAAGATGGATATATATATATATATATATATACACACACACACACACACACACACACACACACACACTCGCACGCACGCACTCACTCACACACACACACACGCACACACACACACACACACACACACACACACACACACACACACATTTAAAGTCAGAATTATTCGCCCCCCTTTTAATTTTTGTTCTTTTTTTTTTTTTTAATATATTTCCCTAATGATGTTTAACAGAGCAAGAAAATTTTCAAAGTATGTCTGATAATATTTTTTTCTTCTGGAGAAAGTCTTATTTGTTTTACTTTGGCTTAAATGAAATCAGTTTTTAATTTTTTAAAAAACATTTTAAGGTCAAAATTATTAGCCCCTTTAAGCTAATTTTTTTTGATTGTCTACAGAACAAACCATCATTATACAATAACCTGCTCAATTACCCTAACCTACCTAATTAACCTAGTTAAGCCTTTACATGACATTTTAAGCTGTATAGAAGTGTCATGAAAAATGTCTAGTAAAATATTATTTACTGTCATCACACACACACACATACATACATATACATATATATACATATATATATATATATATATATATATATATATATATATATATATATATATATATATATAAATAAACAGTTCTGTCTGGTTCTTGAATCTGATTGGCTGATAGCCATGTGATATTCTGTAATAACAGCACTCATACAGCCTCATTACCCTTCTGTCTTACTCCGCCCACTTATAGTGACAGCAGATCAATTAACTCACTACAATTTGACAAATATTGCAGCTGTTGAACAACATAATGTACTTTTGAGGGTTTTTTTTAGGTGAGAATGTAGTTGTTTAGCTGCAACTATGTAGTTTATTAGTATAGTGGCTATTTTAAATATTTAAATTTCAGAGATGCAGTCCATCAGCCTGTTATTAAGCAGAGCTTAGACGGTTGACGTTGTCCATCCACAGAATGACGACAGAGACAGCATAATAAGCCCTTAAAGGAGAAAAACTCATCATAATTTCAAACTAATTAAATCATATATAAATTATTAAACAGGTAAATGGCATTCCTTTGTATGTTGTATTGCTATATTTATACAATAGTAATCTGGTAGTGTTTGCTTTGCTTTGTTGCAATCGGGATATCACAATAATTAACCCTGAATTAATTTAGATTGCTGATATTTCTTGCCATTTAGTCTTATAATCTTAAAATTTCAGCAAAATCACCTTTTTTGTCATCATTTTAGACATTACACTACAGAATCATTCAAATACTAGCTCTAAAGTGACGTTAGTGAAGTAGCAATTGTTTCTGCTTTTCTGATGTCGAATGACATGGTGGAATGATCCGTGTTTGATTTTCTTTTTTATATACATGATTATGCCATCAAACTGTTGTATAAACGCAATATCACACTCGTAGCAGTGTGATATGGCTGTATATCATCACTGATGGGACACTAAGGCAACACACGCCTCCCCACCAGTGCCAATATACAGCCATATTGCAGCCAGATGCCAAACAAACTAGAACTAAATAATAGTAAAAGAAAGAAACCCGAGTGTGAACACACCCTCACAAAACAATTTCAAACTAAAAGTGTTTAAAAATAGCCTTTGATTCTTCATATGCCCATTAAAATAAAACAACTTCTTAATGTTCACAGTCTTGCCTTGAAGCAACAATGGGAATGTGCTGCTTTGTTTAAATGCTCATTAAAAGGTAAAGCAAAGCACAACATGGAGCGCACACGCACATAACTGAAGACACTACCAAGCACAACTGAACAAATCACAATGGTCTTTTACAGCCCTTTCATTGGTGGAAAGACAAGCGACACATTTTAACATCACTCAGACTGCTCACAATGTTGAGGAGGATCGTAAAACTCCTCTTGGAAGGAATAAAACAAATTTAAAAAAGACAACACTACACTTGTGGAAGGAGGGGGAAATAAAAACAAACGAAGGCCTTTACGTTGACCCATCTACATTCGTAAGCCTTTTAGGTGCATTTGTTCATTTTAAAAAATGAGACTTAGAAAGCGCTGCCAATAATGCAAGGACAAACAAACAAAAAGAAAAAAAATAAAGGATATTTACTCAAATATATATTCTTTTTTTAATCATCCTTATTATAAAACATAAAATAGTGCCACTTTTTCCATTAATGCTGGCTTTTTTTCATTACACTGCGATTGCACCATTGAGGGCTGAGTGGAAAGACTTTCTGATCCTAAAATAAGGGATTTTAGTCTGATTACAGCCATATTTCGCTGCATACAAATCCCACATCATTCAAACGTGCCGCTTTTCTCATGGGAATGATATGTAAGAAATAAAGTCTTTGCTGAATACACACTACACAGTCAAACTAAGTGACCTGTTGTAATTTAGTGATAGTATTGCGCTGCATAGCTCAGGTTCACAGGGCTTTATACGGAGGAATACTGAATTGTGGAATGATGAGGAGTAAAGCTAGTCCTGTTGAACACAGATCCTTCTTCCTCTGTGAAGCCTGAGTAAACAGTTTATGGCAGTTTTGACTTGGTGAACCCTATAAAGAGTAACATCGAAAGCAGCTGAGACTGTATTGATTTTGTGTAGTTATACTACGTGTACCCGAGAGATGGAATCGCAAAACCCAAGTGAATCTCTAGCCATGCAGTTATACAAACTAAAATGAACCGATCAAACTAGTTCTCGATTAGTAAAGAATGTAAAGCAACATCTCAAAACAAAGAGAGAAACACAATGAAGACAAAACTCCTAACAAACAGCAGAAGTTCTTCCATCATGACCCAACCTTTGGGCTGGAGCTGTGAGGACGTTTGAGCCGGATGGACCTCGATCCGACCCGACGTGCAAATTCCCATCATCCTAAATTAAAAGTTTCCCTTGGTCAAGCTAAAGAAATGAAAGAACCAAGATGGGCGATGGCGGTTCAATAGGGCTGCGGCTGTTAGAAGCTGAAGAGCTCATTTGTTCCAGTGGTAATCTTGATGAAGATGAGGCAGTGTCGGCTGTGTGGCGCTCATTCTCTCCCGCTGGCCGAGTAGGAGAACTGGGGGAAGTGTGGCCGTCGCTCGTTGTCCATGCAGTCCATCCCATCTTCATCAACTGTGTAAGAAAAGCACAGCAACCATTGGTAAAGAGAGGCTAGGTTAGCAGTACAGTAACTTGTCTTTTTCAGCCAGATTTAATAAATAAGGCATTTTATATGCAGTTGTATACTTAAATCAACTTAGCGGAGGTTCAGAGGACAGAGAGAGTAACAAAGAAAATTCAATGGATGACGATTATAAAGAGGCTGTGACTAATAAGGGACAGTGGGGGTAATTTGAAGGTTACACCCTTACTCTTTATGAGAAGTGCCATGGGGTTCTTAATGACCATGGAGTCTGGACCTTGGTTTAATGTCTCATCCAAAGGTGAGATGCCCAGTCACTGTACCAGGGCATTGGGACACACACACATATCCAATGCAAGGCTCACTAACACATTTACCTAGTTTTCCCAACCTCCCATAAGGTAGTGAAGGCTTCTTTCACCGCACTGTTTCATGAAGCTCGAAAATCTTTATCCGCTTGTTAAATATGACAGCATACTAAGCGGCTTCTTGGTCCAAGTTCTTTATCAAACTGTATTGGGAGACTCATCAAATGGTAATAAATGTTTATAAAGTGCTTTAATACTTCACAATATACATATATCACAATCACTATATATATATACACATTTATATATATATATATATATATATATATATATATATATATATATACACACACACACACACACACACACACACATATATATATATATATATATATATATATATATATATATATATATTAGTGCTGTCAATCGATTAAAAAAATTAATCACGATTAATCACATTTAAAAGACTGAAACTTGTAATTTTGGCTATTCAAATGTAAAGATTTATGTAAACGCAAGACAAAAACTATTTAAATTCAAAACATAATTGTTTATTTGAATTTTTGTTTAATTGTAACAAAGATTTCTTCATGGAAACAACATACCCACAATAAACCATCAAGATCCTGGCTTGACAGCCATATTTATTACAGAAATAAAAACACAGGCATGTTAATGCCATTTGAATTTTAAAACAATCAATGCCAATAAATTTAAAAAAAAAATATTTCCAAGTTGGATTCTAAGTGGACAGCAAAAAATGCCAAAATACAGGCATTGCAGATATGGAAAATGAAAAATTATTATAACAATAAAGTATTGAATACAAACAATTGCACTCATTGTAAAGTTGTATTGCTGTGAGTTGAGAACATTAATTATAAAGTAGAAACAATTTTACTCAGCCCTCTTTTACATTCAGTCAGTTGCTAAAACAATCCAGTCTGTTGACATTATTGGGGGACAATGTGGACCTTTTCTTTTGAATGATGCGAGCTGAGAGTGCAATGCAATCTCACAGCAATTCGTAACTTTTTGATTTAGTGGCTACGGACATTTATGCAGGTTTGTTGCTAAGAAACGTGCGCACGCAGACTCACACACACACTGACAGACAGACACACACACACACACCGCACACAGGGCAGGCAGAGCGACTCCCTTCAGGTTTAACACGCATGATCGCATTCATCAAATTTGCTTAAACAAAGGGTTCTAAAGTATTACTGTATTTCACAAGGATTCTAACACAACGCGAACCAGACACTTGCGTTTAAAGGGGAAACACGTCAAACTTAATGACACATTTGAGGGCTCATGCTGAAAGGCAGAGGAATGCGCTGTCTGACAGCTCGCGACATCATGTCACTTTCTGAGGACATTTACATAAGACACCAATACTCAGATTTTAATATGATTAAGATAATACTCTTATTAGGAGTCTACCATGTAAGCAGCGATTTTTGATTACCTTAAAGGACCACTGAGTCACGAAATGCGGAGGTTTTTCTTTCCCTTTGCCATGCGGTATCAAATTCCATTACAACAGAAGTCGAAAGTTAAAAATGAAACACCCGAAATTGCATGAAACGCTGGAGAGCCTGGTGATACGACATTAACTGTTTTATACTGAAACTTGCCTTCAAAAAGCGCTTTCTTGGCCTTATCCACATTTCTTTGCATGTTGAAAACACGTCCACCACAACAGGATATAAAAAACAGCAACTGCGTTAATTGCGTTAATTATTTCAAATTAATTGCATGCGTTAACGCACTAATTTTTAAAGTACTAATATATATATATATATATATATATATATATATATATATATATATATATATATATATATATATATATATTGCAGAAAGTCCAGAGACTGTTGTGTAACCCATCATTTTCTATAAAATGTGTGATATGAATAAAAAGAGATCATAAATTAATATTTTCTCAATTCAAATTGAGTAGCGGCTTGGACCCGGAAACAATATTTCATACGTCATGACTTAACAAGCTGCAAATCAGTGGTTCAGAATGTGTTTCATATTGGCAATTTTAGTAAATGGCTTTGTTACATCATTACAGTTTTATTTTCCATTGCTGATGATGGTGATGATAACGGAGCTCTTTTCGAATCTAACAAATGTGTCAATTGTTGCCTTGGAAACACAAGTGGGATACAAACAGCAATATGGGTGAGGATCAGATATTTCAGTTTTGAGGACTCTAAATTACAAAAAAATTAATAAACAAATTGTGTGTTTTCGCTTAGCCAGCTATGGCCACCCCTGGGTAAACTCTGGCCACCCCAATATGATTTTGCTGTTGATTAAATGTACTTATATTCATGTACTTATATTCCCAATATTTGAATAAATATATAAATATAAATATATAAATAAATAAAATGCACTAAATTATTGTTTGTGCCACTGACGTACAGTGTATATGTAGCTGATTCACTGCCTCTCCCCCTTAGCGCTGGTTCAACGAAAAAAAATGCGTTCGCCCAGGGTGTCATTTAAAGTATAACTGCCACTGCCCTCCCCAATCAGTGTTGACAGCACGCACACACCTTCAATAGACAGCAAAGCCAATTTAATATTACATCAATAGAAAAAGCTGCATTAATAATATTGTGGCTCAAAAAGGAATATGGATAAATAATATTCTTAGGGTCTGTATAGTGAGTGTGTGTGTATGTAGTAATGCCTTTTGTTCAGTTTGTTCATTTGTTTTATTAATGAACTCATTAATCTACATTAATTTTAGACATAGTATATACTGTATGCTGTACAATAAAAGTATGTGTAAAAATAGCTGAAAAGTTATTTATGTATATAAAAATTGTTTTTAAACTAAATATTGATATTTATTTGGTTTGCACATGTACTTGTTGAATTATTTCAAGAAATAAATTGCAATATTTCAAGAGTAATTAATTAAATTATTTAAAACCACATTTTTTCATTTACTAGAAACAAATATATATATATATATATATATATATATATATATATATATATATATATATATATATATATATATATAAACACTGTATATATAACACTGAATTCATTTAGAATAGAACACTGAATACAGTATTTTTTTTGTGTGCCACCCCAAGATTTGCACACATGTGCCCTGCCTGTTCAGCACAGTTGGCTAATTTAATGTAGGCTTACAGTTTGTAATTGTGCCTCACCATATTAGGCTCACATGAAAATACAACTGGAACTGTACCCAACTGTTCTAGAACCGTTCAGCATGATGGTGGAAAAGAGGCTACTGGTTCTTCTGGTCAAGGCTACTGGTTCTGGTGGTCAATCAGTGTAATACCAGAAAATCCACATGAATTCATGTGTATCTGTCTGGGGACTGGGTGTAACATGAAAGGGGCATGATTTGTAGTAGAGGCATAACTTGCAGTTGTCGAGATCCCACTGAACCATGCGAGATGTCATAACAAGATGTTGGCAAGATGGCAGAAATACTTTTCAGAGAACATTTTCAGCAAGAGTTTTCATGCATTTTCTCTAAATTTATCCACAATCAATTCATTTGATATGTTGTTACTGTATATTCATTCATTTAGCATAGGGATGCCCAAAGTTGGCCCTTTGCAACCTTTGATTTGGCTCACCATCCCATCTTTGCAGATGAGAGTAAGAATAATGGAGCTACAAAAAAGCTCATTGAAATTAAATGTAGTAAATGAATCAGATTTTTTTTAAATGTAAAAAAAATATTTTCTAGGTATTTTTTAATTTTATTAAATAAATTGTGAAATTACCCATGGCAATAATATTTACCTCCCACCCACTAGCCTCAATCAATTAGATTTTTGGCCCTGCATAAGAAAAAGTTTGGACACCCCTGATTTAGCAACTCCACTCCCTGAAGTCTTCATCCATTTGTCATGACAGCTAGCCTACGCTGCATTGCCCCCTGCATTTGCAAATCACAGTACCAGTGGTGTAGTCTATGGCCCCGTTTACACTAATGCATTTTCGTTTTAAAACGCATACGTTTTGCTAAGGTTACGCCATCCGTCCACTCTACGCCAGAGTTTTTGAGCACCGAAAACGGAGCGTTTTGGAAACGCTGAAGAGGCCGTTTTCATTCTAAAATGCTGCTGCTCCGTCTCAGTGTGGATAGGGAAAAACGAAGACATCTGAAAACGGAGGCGGGGCTGCCTGATTAAGGCTTTTCCTGAATATTAAGTAGCCTTGTAAGTTCAGACTTCACAAGTCTGACATGAAAAACTGACTCCCGAGGACACGGGTAAATCTTCAAAAGGAACAGTGTGCTTTATAACCTCATTTACATCACCCTGGCTACGTTGTTTCACTTTCTCAACAATAATATGAAAACATGATTTAAGGAACTGCCTATTTTCATTTTGATATTAGCAACTTAACAGACAGCAGAAATGTTTAGGCATTGTGCTGCAAATATGAGCGTCATCTTCATGTATTGATATTTATAACAAAACGAAGCCTATAACATTACTGCCTCCTTTTATATTCCGAATGAATAATTAATACGAAACATACCCTTTCTTTTGCTGAATATCAGTTTTAATAATCAATAATGGCCATTATAAAAGTATAATATACTATAAGTTTATACATTATAGGAAATAAAGGCAATGAAAGCAGTCGCAACTTGTGTGTGCATAAGCGCCATCTT